TAATGACTTATTGCACAATTTTTTAAAAAGATAAAAACAAACTTGTAATAAAAATAGTCTTTAAGCAAGCATGCAAATATAACCAAAAGATGTAATATTATTATTAAAATTTAAACTGAAAAACTTATCCTAAGATTTTTTTGAGCACTGGTAAAATAATAGGCGAATATGATGAAAAAAACCGGACAATAAAGTTAAAAAATCAATAAACTAACTCGTTGCTATAGTGATTGCTAGAGAAGTCTGAAAAACTGTTTCTGTTGTGCACTAAAATAATTTTTTTTAAAAAAACAAAATCAATTTACAACAAACTGTTTTCACATAACCAATCTCCGTTAAGAGGGCACAACCTTATTTAAAAAGTGTAAATTATTGAAAAAATTAATTTTTCAAAAATACACTTATTTTAATTCAAATTTATCGTAGAAACTATTGCTGATTTTTAATTTTTTAATATATGCTGATATTGGTCAAAATTTCATTTATTTAGATGTACATTATTTAAAATACCCTAGCAACGCGCATAGCAACCATTTTTGAATGTTGTTATTCTTTTTTAAAAGTTGATTTCGGCTTTTTGTTTGTACAGATGGCTTTTTGTTTGTACAACGACGTAATAAGCTTAATGGAAGTTATTTTACTAGTTAAACTACTGATTTGACAGACTGGTCTTGGTAGAATGTTTGTTTATTTTATACAAAATTGGTTTAAACATATTTTATTTTCCAGTATTATAACAATGTAGTATGCTTTATAAAATAATCTCGATGCTGTTTTGCTATGTATCTATCTATGCTTTTATAAGCTTTCTATCTGTTGCTTTGTATATATACTTAACTAGTATAACTAAAAAGTTGAAAAATATTTACAAATTGAAATGGAATCATCTCGTAAGTTTCAATCTAAAAGACATAAAAGTAAGAAGTTTTATGGTAACCAACACTCAAAAAATTTTACTGAAAACTCTAAAGTTACAAATAAAGAAAACATTGCAACAACAGTTTCTTATAAAAAGTTAAACACAGAAAATAATTTTGAGATGAATTGCTGGCAGGATACTTTGTAAATAAATTTTAATTTTTCATCAATGCATTATTGAGAGTAGTACAGTGGATAACATTAGATTTTTGAAGCTGGAAGTCCGAGTTCAATTCTTGCTTAAAACAAAATTAATATTTTGTGAAAATTTGTTTTATTTCAACATTACTTATTTTTATTAGTATTAACTATAATTATTTTTTTGTAAATTATTATATTTTTCTTTTTAATTACGATTAGTTTTGAAATTTAAGTTTAATAGGTGCATTAAAGTGTACATACTTCAACTGTTATAGCTTTAGGCGAAGTGGAGTATAGGTATGTTGACTGATTTAGGGATAGGCAAAGCGGAGTGTACACACATAGACCAACTTAAATAAGGATAGACACAGTGTAGTAAACTTGTGTAAAGTTGTAGTAAAGCTTGTTGCATTTGAAATAAAATATTTATTTAAAAGGTATATCAAACTCAAAAAAGTCTCAAATAAACCAGAAAATAATGAAAATTGTAAAATTTCAAATTGTAAAATTCTTTTCAAAAGCAAAAAAGCATTTTTCAAAAAAGTATTTCTATGTAATGTCATAAAAAATTTGAACTTTTCAATTTTTGTTACAAAAATGTTTTTTTGTGTGTGTATTTATATATATGTGTGTGTGTGTTTATATATATATATATATATATATATAATATATATATATATATATATATATATATATATATATATATATATATATATATATATATATATATATACAAATAAATTTAAATGTATTCTACAAAATAGAGTGCTCAATGTTCTTATAAGAACAGAGCAATAATAAATTAGTAAAAAATCACTTAACAAACTTTTTTCATTTTACACTGTGTTTCATCAATTAAGACTCATCAGAAATGAATGTTTAAATTAATAAAACTTCAATTTATACCAAAAATTAAATTACAGGAAGTCATAAATGACTTATCTACTGTAAAATTTTCACACATTTGTGGAATGTGCTGACACTATTAAAAAGAATTCTTTAGAATTGTTTACTTCTGCTTCATTTTTAAAAAATATATATCTTTTTAAAGGGGGGATTTATCATAATATTATTTGAGCTTACTTATTTTTATAGTTTTTTAGGAGAAACTTATTTTCATGCCTGCATTTAGAAATCAATTCTGATTTTTTGTTTAATAAACATTCTTGGTTCGCATGTGTGATTATTTCAAACTTTTCTTGTAGGCATAATATGCATTTTTTGGAAATATTATTATATGCAGGTGCTGTTTTAAGGATAGACCAATTCAATATAAAATCATCAATATTTTTATCTTTTAATTCCCATATGTATTTAGACAGCATGGTGTCTTTTGAATGCTTTTTATTTTTAAAGGATTGTTTATGGTTGGCAAAACGTTTTTTCCATTCACCCTCTGCTAAGCCAATATATTGTTTATCAGGTACATTCTTAGAGGAAACAACACATTTATAAACTACGTTTTTTGATAAACATTTTCCACTCATTGGGCAATTGCTTTTTTTGTTTACAATTACAAATTTCAGCTGTTTTTTCATTTAAAATTTCTTTTTTGTTTAGCAAAGCATTATTGTGACCTTTTATAATTCTTTCCATATTTTTTGTGCAACTATAGCTAACTTTAATTGCATTTCGATTAAAAATTTTATGTAATATATTAGAAGGTGGGAAGTGTTTATCTACCAATTTTAAAAACACTTTTCCTATGTTAGTTGAAACATTTTTGCTATATGGGGGGTTGAACCAAATTACATTTCTATTTCTATTTCGCTTTTTTATATTCTTTTTTTCAGGGTCAAATTTTAGTTCAAAATTTTAAAATCCACTTTTCTTAAGGGCATCTTCAAAAATTCGTTTAGAGGAATTAAATACATTTTCATCAGAGGAGTTTTGGTTAAGCCTGTTATTAATTGAAATTGGAATTTGTTTTAGAACTTGTGGTGGATGATTTGAGTTAATATTAATATACAATAATTCATCATTTGGTTTTTTGAAAGGCTTATATGAGTTTTCAGAGAGGTTAAGAGTGACATCAAGAAAATTCACAACTTTTAAATTTATGTTTATTTCGATTTGAAACCCAATATTTTTGAAAATTTTTATAATATCTTTTCTAATTTTATCGAGCTGTGGACCAGATTTTTTACGCATTACTATTAAACCATCATCACGATAAAGGCCTAAATCATTGATATTGATTATTTTACTTAATAAATCTAAAATGTATAGTCCAACAAATTCACAAATTTCTGCTCCATTGTAACTGCCCATTGTTACATCGAAGCAATCATGTATGTTTTTCTTTTTCCAAGTTTCCTTATTTAAATAAAGTAGGGTTTTTCTGCAATGTTTTATTATACGAATTGTATCTTCTGGAATAATTGTGTGGATTTTAGCAAATTCAATTGTCTTATCTAAAATATCTGCAGTTAATGACGGGTAAAAATCATTAATATCAAATTGAATAAATGTACAGTCATTTTTATTTTCGATAATGGAGAACCAATTTATAACATCAGTGGTATTTTTCCACTGTTGTAAATTTAATTTATTTCTAAGAATATTATTAATTTTGTCCAATTTTACTTTGCTTACATGTCCAATCTCACTTTTTGAGGGAACCAATAACCGACAAAGGAGTTTGTTTTGAAAATTTGGTTTATGATCTTTAAGTGTTACAAAAGCTTGAACAGGGGCGGTTGATTCAATTCTGTTTTCAAGGTTTATTTTTTTAGCGATACTTTGGGCTTCTAAATTAATTGCATTTTCCAAATTTTTAGGAGCTTTCTCATAAGAATTAGTAATATTGTCACGTAATATTTTTTCATAGTTTTCTGTTGTGAGTTGATAAATATTATTAGTTTTATCAGCAAAAACCAAAATATTGGGGTTTGATTTAATTTTTTTAACATCTAACTTTAATTCTTTTTGAAACTGGTTATTTATAGGCCGAAACTTTATTGTTTAATTAAGTGCAATAGGTCATTTTCAAAATTTTCCAAATCAGGTATAAAATGTGGGGTATTTTTTGTTTTAAATCCATAATTATTATTATCTCGGTTATTATTAAATGCATCATCAGTGTTTGTTTTCGGTTTTAAGAAAAAATGTGCTTTCCAACGAACTCTTTTAATAAAATGCTCAACTTTTTCAATCAAAGAAATAGTATAACTTTTTTCATCTAGTATAGCTATGTTTTTTAGCGAGTAAGTGAAATTATTAGTTTCCATTTTTACATGGAATATTAAAATACAATTTAGAGTGCTCAACAAATGTTAATAAGGAGCCAAATATATATACAAATAAATTTAAATGTATTCTACAAAATAGAGTGCTCAATGTTCTTATAAGAACTGAGCAATAATAAATTAGTATAAAATCACTTAACAAACTTTTTTCATTTTACACTGTGTTTCATCAATTAAGACTCATTAGAAATGAATGTTTAAATTAATAAAACTTCAATTTATACCAAAAATTAAATTACAGGAAGTCATAAATGAAGCAGAAGTAAACAATTCTAAAGAATTCTTTTTAATAGTGTCAGCACATTCCACAAATGTGTGAAAATTTTACAGTAGCTAAGTCATTTATGACTTCCTGTAATTTAATTTTTGGTATAAATTGAAGTTTTACTAATTTAAACATTCATTTCTGATGAGTCTTAATTGATGAAACACAGTGTAAAATGAAAAAAGTTTGTTAAGTGATTTTCTACTAATTTATATATATATATATATATATATATATATATATATATATATATATATATATATATATATATATATATATATATATATATATATATATTATATATATATGTGTGTGTGTGTGTGTGTATATATATATTTTTATAAAATTTATATCATACATACCATTTCTTAAATATATAATAAAATATATTAAAAAACATAAAACAAATAATAAAAACAATTAATTACCCCATTTTTGGACTAGATAAGTAATCTAAAATTTAAAAATTTATTAAATTTATTTAAAAATTAAAAAAAAAATTAAAAAACTCAGCAAAATAAAAACACAACTTTTGATTTGTTGAAATTTAAAAAACTGTAAGAAAAAATAAGAAATAAAAACTGTTATTACTTTTTATTAATCTTACCTCCAAATTTCTTCTCAATTTCAATTACTATATCATTACGATGAAAAGCTATTAACTCTATTTTTAATAACTCCCATGAAGGGTTGCCAATTTTTTGCTTCCATTTTTTCAAAACATTATCACATTTCTCATAAATACTTTTATTATCAGAGCCAATGTTATCTAGATCTGAATCACTTAAGCCTAGGTGTCTTCCCCATCGCAACCAATCACTTCCGATTTTATAGCTTATTTCACCACAAAATTTTGAAAGCAATTCATCAGAAGTCAGTTTATTTCTTGACACTAAATATAAGAAATTGAAGTTTCAGAAAAAATAGTTGAAATAAACAAAATGAACAAAAAATAAGTTATTAAAAGCAAAATAAATTAAGAATATCACAAATTTACATATTTGCTGTAGCTGGTAAAAATTATTGGGAGTTCAAGTGTTAAAAATTTTTATAATTATATCTTTTTTTTCTATCAGTAAACGTATATCCTCATAAGTAAATGTATTATGAAAAGTACATACTGCTTATAATAAAATTTTTCAACTGCATGTTGTTAATTCTAAACAACTCATCAAGCATCGTCAACAAGTCATCAATCATTATCAACCTCATCATTAACCATCATCAACAGCCAGAACTAATGTATCAACAAATTAATCATATAATGAAGACAAAGGCTGGAATGGTCCTGCAATTTTTGGTGACTTATAATGAGAGGTAGCTAAAGTAATAAATATGACACAGTTTTTAAAACACTTTTTTTTGAATTTTAGAAAATATAAATTTATGGCAAAGAAAAAGCACTTTTTACTTTTTAGTTTTAATTTCCACACATATAAGTAAGTTAAAACAACGGCAAAACTTTTAATTAAAAATGGAAAAGGATCAAGAAATCAAAAACTATATTAGGTATAAACAAACTATATTAGGTACAATCAAATTCTCTGTCTCAATTGCAATGCTGAAATTCACAACAAACCACAAATCATTAGGTTGTAGGCAAAATTTTATTTAGAGACTGTTTAAAAGGTCTTTATTTAGGGAAAAAAAATTTGTTTAAAAAACATCCTTCATTTTTATTGAGGAACAAAATTTATTAGGAGCCTGGTGCTAGTCCTCTCTGCTCCCCCGAGATGATCCGCTCTCCATCTCCTTCTCCTATAGAAAGGAAACATACAGGACTTCCCTGTAATACTAGTTTTATTTTCATTTAGCATTT